TTGCCAGCCAGACCACTATTGCGACTTCCAGAGCGATCCACCGCAGTGCCACAAGTGCACCGTGTGTCCGCCGGGGTTTTTCCTGATCTCAGAGTGCTCGCCGACCATGGACACCATGTGCCAGGTAGTCAACTGAGCTGACAAAACCTCCTGCAAGTTTTCAAAATACGTACAGCATTTCTTTTCTTTCCATTTGCAGTTTGCCAGCAAGTATAAGATAACACTTTGACGCTGGTTTCTGAGCCTAGCTTACCAAAATTTAGTCTCATTCCGAGAGATAAAGTTTTTCCCCTTTCATTGGGTTATTTCCAAAAATACCAAGAAGTCACCCAAGTTCTGAAAAACTAATGTTGCATCCAAACGATTTCCTTGGTGGAGTCATGAAAATAAATCAGACGTGACCACCGATGTCCCTCTTCCTAATGTCTCCTCTTGACTTTTTGTTTCACAGGACAGAGATGAATGTCTCGAACTAGCAAACATCTGCGGCGAGCGAGTCAAGTGTCTAAACACTCCAGGTTTGTGAACCGCCGACAATCACCGGCAACTGTCTTCAGATGTCTTGATACTATTTTATCCTGCGGCCTCAGGAGGTTTCCGGTGTCTGGGAGTATCGCAGAAAGAAGCGGAAACGGGCTTGTGCGGCCACGCCTACTTTTACAATCAGGAACTTCAGGAATGTCAGGCCTGCTCCGACTGCGAAGGCCATCCCGTCGCCTTCCCCTGCACGGCCGTCACCGACTCCGTCTGCGGTTCGCCCCCGGGGGCTCATCTCTCCGAGTCCTGGAGTGCGAGCATCACTGTCCCCTCAGCCCAGAAGTCCGGAAGCCACATGTTCGCCGGGCTTCAGCTCAGCGTGCGAGGCAAGGAACATAGTGATCTTCTGTCCAGCGAGGGTGGCCGGGTGACTTTCCGCCAGCACGGCCTCCTGTGGCTGGACTACAACTTTGCCATCAAGCACAGCTGCAGGAATTTCCTCCAGGTGGGCTTGAGGTTCAACAGCAGCCAGGAGGAGGAGGATCGGGAGCTGAGCGGGGTACGCGTGGAGCAGCCTGAGGGCAAGTACTACCAGGGCGTAAGCGTCAGCGGCGGGGTGGAGGCGGAGCCCAACGACACCGTGAGTCTTCTCCTGAGAAGCCCCAACCAGTACTGCAACCAGAGCACAGACGTTCACGTCTACGACACGGCCGCGCCGACCTTCAGCTTGCTCTGGCTGTCGCACGACACGGGTGCGGTGGCCATGACCGCCGAGATGTCCCTGTTGGCGCAATATCAGTCCAGCTACTCCCCGACGTTTCGTGCAGGTTCATTATCCGACCCTTACATGATAGGCTTGACGCACGACAACCGCGGCGTGCGCTTCACGGAGAGCGGCGTGGTCAAGTTCGTCCTCCAGCAGGCGCTCTACGCCATGGGGCACACTTGCGTCCGCGAGGGCTTCTTCCTGATCGCCTACACCAGTCGCAACGGCACAGGCCAGGAGGCCATGCGCGCGTTTAAGACAGGCGTGAACTACAGAGACACCTCCATCACCTTGGCGGGAGCCGTGGCCTTGGGCGCTGGCGACACGCTCAGCTTTGAGATCACGACACCGCCGCAGTGCAACGTCCGCTACTTCGGTGACGGCACCGGGATCAGCACGCTCAGCTTGGTCTGGCTTCCCTCGGCCGTTGCTTCCACGTTGACCGCCACGGTGGCCAAGCTTGGCCTCCCCTTCGGAGCGGTCCGCAATAAGCCGCTCTCCTTCCAGCAGATTTCCCCAGACTCACAGAAGATCCGCCTGGCCGGTTCCGGCGAACCAAACAGTCGCAAGAACTTTGTGTTCCTGGAAGAGGGCACCGCTAGCGTCGCCCTGAACTTGAGGCTCATCCACTCATGTAACGTCGTTAAGGTGACTCTCCATCGAACCGGCAGTCCAGGTCCTGGGGGGACCGATCCCGTGGCTCAGCAAGTTTCGGGACACATGCCGGAGGGCAGTGAGTGGGCCAGCGTGGGTCTGAGGGCCTCCTTCCATGTCCGCAATGGCACCGCCGTCTACGTCACTCTGGACTGCATCCGCGGACGCATCAACCAGATCTCGCACCAGGGCGGCACCAGCATCTCCATCCTTTGGGTTGCCGTGTGAGCCGGAGCAGACTTTTTTTTTTTTTCTTTTTGCACATGGTTGGCTTGGTATGATAAAGATGATGTTCGAAGTCTGTGTAGAATCTCTGTTATCCAGGTCCTAGTAATCCAGAAAATTTAAATGGGGGGGGGGAAACTGGACTCCTCTTGGTTGTTGGAGATGTTTCATCTAAAAATGCTTCTTTAGTTCTGTGATGACCAATTCATTTTTCCAAAAGAACTCTCCACCTAAGTTTTTGTCGACTCCGTTCACTCATCTAAAATCATTCACCACCAAGCCATGCCCTGTCGCCACAGGTGAGCCCCAGGGCTCTGTCCTCCGCCCACTCTTGATTCAAATCAGTAAAATCCTTCACAAATACAACATCCGCTTTCACGGCTACGCACACGACACGTAGCTGGAAACTAAAGAAGACTTTCGGATTACGGGGGGTGAAACATCTTTATCACCCAACGAGACTCTAGTTACCTCCATTCAATTTTTCTCAATAATGTCATCTTTTTAAAATGTCGCCTTTGTATAATTTACTGTGAAAGTACTGGTTTTGTTTGAGGTACTTCGGCTGGTTGAGCAGTGACCAAATTCTGCGTGTGTGTGTGTGTGTGTGTGTGTGTGTGTGTGTGTGTGTGTGAATGTATTATTTCCTATGTGCATATGAGTATCCTTCCATTGCAGCACATTTTTCAAAAATATTGTTATTGGTTTTATACAGGATATAAAACATTCGTCTACAATACGACAGTTGAACAAAGCAAAAGACGTTATTGGACATGTGGTCATATTTATTTTTTATATCCGTTGCCGAACAAAGCATTAAAAGAATATGCAAACGAGCTCAATCTTTCGAGTGGTTGCATGAAAGAATGAAAGAAGCAGCATATTTTTTTCACGTCGAGACGGTGATGCGGTAGTTCCTCCGAGTCCTAATCACAACTCCTATTTTCCAAGTTATAATCGCAGACGTGACTCATCCCGACATGTGGACGCAATTAGAAGGCAAGCAGTCAAAGCAGTGCAGAGGGGTCGTGGTGGAGGACTCCATTTACATGACTTGATTCTACTTTGACTTAAGTTACTAGTTGCCCAGTTATTGGCAGATGATGGATTTACCCCCCCCCCCCCCGGCCCTCGGACGGGGGTACCCCATAGTTTCAGCAAAGCTCCTGAAGCCCAAGGTAACAGGTCAAAAGCCATGGGGGCGGTCTAATTTACTCCCACCTCTAAGGATTGGTTACCTGGACACTAACATGGCACACTTATTTAACTGGTCACATGATTGTTCTATCCAGCAAAATCGAAATCCTGAGAGTTAAAAAGAAGGTAAAAGCGCGTTTTGAATTCTGTGGCCCGTCCAAATTGCAAGCAGCTGTGCCAGATGTAAAGTGTCAGACAAGGACGTGATGGTGGGGGGAAAAAAAAAAGATTAGAAAGCTCATGTGTCCAATCGGAAAGTCTCTTGAGTGTGCAGATGTTTGAGATCTGACTACAACGTGCTAGCCAACACAAGCCAGGGACGTCCACCACTTCCTGACTTAATTCCCCCCACAAAGAATATTTTCTTCCTCCAAAACATATCAAGTCAAGTATGGAGTGTGCTCAGTGGCCCTCACGGGACATCATAAAAACTGAAATGAACTTCCCCCGGCCCTCTTCTAATGAGTCCAACAGTCCAATCCCCAATGACGTTACACGTTCTTCCTCACAAAGTCTGACTAGAAATTGTACGAAAACCAAGCTTGCGATGAACCCTTCACCTCTTTACTGTGAAGCGAACGTGCTAACCAGTTGAGCCCCGTGCCACCGCTTGCCAACATCACATGACCAAAACCAAAAAAACAGGTGAGCTGTGACGGTATAGTCACTTGACCCCTTTGGCACTATCATTTGCAAGTGACAGCCTCCGGAAATTCATATTTTTATAATTAATATTTCAAAAACGCAATATTAATCAGAATACCATGTTTACACTAGTGGGGATGCAGAGAACATATTGTGAAAAAACAAACATTGTTTTGGCTTGACTTCCCCTTTGAGAGCATGAATGACAAATATTGAATCCAAATGAAATCATAAGGCAGTAATTTATGTAGTTTGAATTCATGCATGAGAATCTAATGTATTAATTCTAATCTAATCTAAAGGTTATATTTAAATCATTGGTGTATGTTTATGAAACAAAGAGACGCCACTCAAATTTCCTGGTACGTCTCTTGCAAATTATGAGCTTGCAGCGTCCCCTAGAGAAAGAAACCGAAACAGCAAGTGGATTTGATCAGTACAGTGTTGAATCTGACATTTCGTTGGATTTTAATTAATTATCACAATCACTGCCCACTTCATTGCGTTATCTTAAATACCCATTATTTTTTTTAAGTCGTTATACCTTTGCTTGATATTTGGAGAACACTACACACAAACTAATTATATTGGGCTTTTTGGTGAAATTGCAGGATGAAATTAAAATGCACCTTTTAGGTGTAAAATAATTTGGCAGAATGAAATTATATTAGAGAGATTGTATAAATTCTGTCAATATCAGCCTTCGTGAAAAACTGTACTTTTTGGATGCCACCCGAAATGTTTCAGCTTTTGCGACCCGGAAATTGTGTGACGTCATGGTGAATGTAATCTATTTGACAAATGTCAAAACATGTGTTGGTGGACACATGTTGACTAAATTACAAAATAAAACAAGCAAATAATTAATAATAAAACTACAGTATTTTCCTGGAATATTCTCTTGTTAATTGAGTTTCGCTATTCCCTTCCATTTTTTTGAAGGCGGGGCTTCTAATTTTAGTGATCAACAATATTTGAAAAAAAACGTCTGAGGTTAAATCTTTGAACATAATAAAAAGTAAATTATACTTAGAAAGAAATGTTTGTGCTTATTTTGCACCATAACTTATGTGAAGAGTGTCATTATTTTATTGTATTATTTCACTTCGGCACCCCTCCCTCCTTTAGACTTGGTTTGTTCCACTCCAGTTTGAAGCTCAGAGCGGGAGGAGTTTTCCCCAATGTCGCTGTTGTGTTGTCGGAAGTTGACGTTTTGGGACTAAAAATAAGCATAAATGACCCACAATAAGTCTCTCCTTTTTTTATTTCACAACGGCGACGAAGACTATTAAATATGGAGATAAAACGTTGGTTTTAAATCTCACAGGTCGCCAATGTAAGCGCTTGCTAGCTTAGCTTTGGCTGCGATTTTCCAACATTGTCGGATATGAAAAGCGTCGAGCTTCGTGTTTGAATCTCTCACTCTCGCCCTGTCTCGCTCTCTTTCACACACACACAGTGTTACAGTAAATAATCGATCAAGTTATTATTTTACATCGATAGGTCTTTTTTTTTCCTTCACGAAATGGACGCGACGACTTGTTTGAAGTCTCTGCTGCTCGCCACGCAGCAGTATGAAGGCGGCAGGAGCGCTCAAAATGCGGCGCAGCTTCTTAAACAAGTGGAGGTGACTCACTTTTAAACCTCTTCTGTCATTTATTTGAAATATATAATTGCTCTATTTCGTGCTGTAAATTGATTTTATGGTGTTTTCGGTATTACGGTAACTCGAGAATCACGTGACTGTACAGTATTCATTGTGCAACCTACAAGGTCAGAACGATTTTTAAAAATCATCAAATTGCGATTTTCTTCTAGATTTTTTCCCCCAAGTTCAAATGACCAAAGAATTATACGAAAGATCGTTGATCTGCTTCACTTTGCGTTAACATGGACTTCTATGTGTTCACTATGACTACTGTACTTCACAAAATTTTACCCCAAAAGTGTGCCGCGAGCATAAATCATGAAGTTATAAATCAGATTACAATGCGCACATCTGGGACTTTGACCCGTCAAAATTTTCATGTAATAGTGATGCAAGCAAGCAGTTTGGGGGACTGGTTAGCGCGTCTGTCTCCCAGTGCAAAGGTCTCGGGTTCGATACCAGGCTCCAGCCTTCCTGTGTGGTGTTTGCATGTTCTCCCCTTGACTACCTGGGTTAGGGCGGGTGCTGCCTTGCTGCCCGCAATCGGCTGAGATTGGCTCTAGCACGCCTGTGACCCTTATGAGGATACGCGGCTCAGATAACGGATGGATGAAAAAGTGATACGTTAACATGTGGACTGCAAGTCCTAAGCACTGAACTTATCTAGACACTAAAATATATAAAATACAGTTTTCACTGCATATCTGACATTCAACGAAAAAGACTTTTTCAAATGAACTTTGACAAAAAGAAAGCAAAGCCACTTTTATTAAACAGTTTTTAATGTTTGCAGGAGGTTTCCTCCCTCAAATGTGACCAGCTGCTTTCTTCGGGTCAGCTGCTGCCCATAGAGTGTGTCCGTGGGCTTGTGGAGCTCACCGGCAACGCAAACACCTGTCCCACCGTGGCCGGTGCCATCTTATCCCTACTGGCGCAGCTTGGTACGGTACACTTCTTCATTTCTTTGAAATAAACTTCTCACGGACTTGATCATATTCAACATGTCATCTCCTTGCAGCTTGTGATGATGACAGCAGGAAGATCCTACACTCTAACTTCAACCTCACCAGCATCCTGGCCCTGCTTGTGCATCGCCACAGTGCCACCCCCGGAGACCCTTTGATACTGCAGGTTGGTTATCTCAATCCTCGGGATTAGTTTTATCTGCACCGGCAATAAGTGAAAATCACCAATGCAGTCGTGCTTGCCCTATTGTGGTTTATGTTGTGTGGATTCACTGTATGGGCAGATTTTTAAAACACCTTTTAAAGCCACACATAAGTCACAGATAGTACCGTGCAGAACATGAGGATGGCGACCCCAAGTGGACAGAATTAATACCCACACCTCACTGGTATATTTTGTATTCTTGGGACTTTGTGTTACACACACACACACACACACACACACACACACACACACATATACATATATATGTATATATTGTCACTGCGTCACAGGTTCTGTGGGGGTACTTTAATGCATTTTTGTCTGTGCGAAGAGTTTACAGTTGCTGCAGAAGCTAACCTACAGCACTCGCATCTTCCCATCCTCAAGCCACGTCCACGAGCTCATCGGCTTCCTCATGTCCAACATGTAAGACGGACTTCCGCAGGCGCATCTCAACAGATTCAACAAAAGCTAATCCTGACCTAATTTGTGTTATAAAATTCAGTTGTAATGTTCAACAAGGTTTTCGTCCACGATTAGATACAGTCAGCAAAATTATAAAAACAAAACATTTCACTTTGTGTGTCTGTGTGTAAGTCTAATATAGTCTATGTACTGAGTTTCACTTTTTGGCATTTTTATGCACCTTACATGCACATACACACACATGGAGTTCAAGTTTTGGCCAGTCACACCGAGCTGCGTCTTTCCTGGCAGCCAGTCGGATTGCGATGACATCATCATGCCGTGCCTGGGCCTGATGGCCAACCTTTGTCGAACTAACCCCGCCGTGCAGAGTCACATCAAGTCTCTGGTGAGCGGCCCACTGTGTCGTGTGTTTCCTTGGGAGAGTTCGACATAGAGTTAGGAGGGAGGAGTAAAATACAACTGAATTGTTGTTTTTTTTTCCAAAATTCACAAAAACAGGACACCGTGAAGCCGTTTTATCGGACGCTGATCCGCTTTCTGGCCCACAACAGTCTGACCGTGGTGGTCTTCACGTTGTCCATCCTGGCCAGCCTGACTTTCAACGAGAAGGTCGGAGAGAAGGTGGGTGTGGCAACGGTTGCCGTGGTGATTTGTTGATTGTGTGTTTCGTGCGTTAGTTTGTGTTTTTTTTTTTGTGATGGTGTGTTTTTGTTTCAAACTTTTTCATGTGTGTGTGTGTGTTTCTGTGCATGTTGTTCATGTTGCCAAACGTTCTATGTTAGTCTGTTTTTGTGAATGTGTTGATGTGTCTCTGGTTTTATTTTCGCGTGAGTTTGTGTTTTTCTGTGTGCTTCCTTGTGTTTGTGTAAGATTCATGATATGTCTTTCCCCGTGTGTGTTCCTGCCACAGCTCTTCGATGCCAAAAACATCCACCAGACCTTCCAGCTGGTCTTTAACATCATCGTCAACGGCGACGGCACGCTGACCCGAAAGTACTCGGTTGATCTTCTGGTTGATTTGTTGCAGAACCCAAAAATTGCAGATTATCTCACTCGGTAATCACACACGCGCATTCGCCCATGCGTGTATGCCGTGTCTCAGTTCGTTTTGTTGCGGTCCGCAGGTACCGGCACTTGTCAGCATGCGTCGATCAGATTTTAGGACTGTTGCAGTCAAAAGATGCCGACTCAGCAGCCAAGGTGAGTTGTGTATCTGTACCTACGTGCGTTACAGGAGCGCACCGTCTGGAGCTTGGCTTTTGTGGGTCTACAGGTCCTGGAGCTACTCCTCGCCATGTGCGGCGTGTCGGGTCTGCGGCCGCTGCTTTGCCGGGTACTCTTCAAACCGGCGACAGTCAAACTGAAGGCGGCGCCGGAGCACAAGGCCAAGCCTGGGCTGGCGCTGGTGCAGTGGATCAGCTCGCCCGTGGCGGGCGCTGAGGCCTGCTCGCTCAAGGCGCTGCGGCTGCTCAAGGAGCTGCTGGAGGTTTGAATCATGCCATTCATTGACATCTTATGTTTGTGGACAAATGTAAGATTTCATTCAGGAAGTGTACCGGAGTGTCGATGAATTGAATTGTCTTACCTCAGGAGGCGTTGGGCGCCGCCATCATGCCAGACTCAACAGAGAGTTTTGTGGAGATGCTACTTCCTGTCCTGCTGGACTTTGTCAAGGGCCTGGACCCGCCCTCCCAAGGAGAAGCCCAACTGAGACAACACTGCGAGTGCGTCACTCACATCAACAGTGTGCTGCTCGATATCCTGGCCATGCGTTGACGTTGTCAATTTCGAGGCGGCAGTAGTAGTAGGCAAGCAGAGAAGACTTTCCTGGCTGTGATCTTCCACCACTGTCGCCGTTACGCCGTCTTTGTCACCTTACGTGCGTTGTTTGCTTCGTCCAAAAACACTTAACCAGTCCACTCATGTGCAGCAAAGACGTCACACAGTCGCTGGTATCAAACCAGGTGAGTGCCCAGCAGTGCCTTTTGCAGGTGGAAACACTTCTTGCTTGTTGTCACGGCAACAACGCCACGGCCTGCCTGCCCCCAGGCGCAGACAACAGCCTCAGGTCAGCCAATCAGCTGCCACCGTCGTCTTCCATGACACTGTATGATATATCATGACAACGCGTGTGCATGTGCGTTTGTAGTCAGGTGTGTGCGGAGGCTCTGCTCAGCACTTTGGTACTGATGAGCAAACTGCGGCAGCAGGTCAAGGATATGGAGACCGGCTTCTACCGTACACTGCAGGTGACCGCCGTCTTACTGCTCGTCGCCTCTGTGACGTTTTTCTCCTCATCCTCACTTTTTACCCCCCCCTCCATCTCATATGTATAGGACCAGAGGATAGCCACGCCCCTCGCTCTGGCCCTGACCTCGCATCACAGAGCGCACGTGCAGACCGGCCTCGCTCTGCTCTTAGAGGCCACGCCACTCCCGGACTTCCCCTCACTGGTGTGAGTCTCAGACTGTCCAATCAGGTTCAAGGGGGACGTATTTTGGAAAAGGGACTTTTTAAGATAAGATGACATTTATTAGGCCCACAACGGGAGCATTTGTCATAGGTTGATGGTCATAGTTTGTAGACAAATGCAGGAACGGGTAGAATATACAAAGTCCACATCGGTTCTTTTCGAATAAATACGCGATAAATGATGTCTCCTTTGAAGTGTGCCGCGGTCTTCCTCCAGGCTCGGGGACAGCATGGCCGCCAACAACGCTTACCGGCAGAGGGAAGCCGAGGTGCCCGTCAAGCGTATTCCCGTGCAGGAATTCCCTCCTCCTCGGACAAACGTCAATGGACTGGACATGTCCGGCGCTTCCAGCGGCATCCACAGCCTTGTGGAGAAGCTCCACGGCGTCTTGGAGGTCTCGAACGCATGTCATGTCAACTTTCCGACTGTTGTTGAGAGCATGACTGCGAGCTGAGTGCATATGGTTTGTAGCTGCAGGAGCCAGCCAAGGACATGCACTTGTCTGACATCATCGACGTCTACGAGCAGAAGCTCACCGCCCTCGCCGTAAGTCAAAAGAAGCCTTTTGCTAGTATGGATTTTGTTACCATGACAACTAGGGAGGGACTTGTAGGGCTGTATCGTGAGCCCCGAGTCTATGCATTGTTGTTGTTATTGAGAAAAAAAAAATACACGAGGTCAGAATTGTAATTTCCTTATTGGAAGCAGCACCTCATTCACCAAGATGCCGAATCACACCGCGCAGGTAGCAATCATGCATCCAACAAAACTTGATGCAGCTCTGCTTACCCTCTGGTTTTAATGTCAACGTCCTCACCTAACCCTCAGTCTGAGGAGAGTCGCCTTCAGGACCTGCTGGAAGCAAAAGCCGTGGCCCTGTCTCAGGCCGACCGCCTCATCTCACAGTATCACTTCCAACGAGCTCAGGCCGAGGCCGAGGTGAGCGCTTTTGTCCTTTGACTCGTCCGTCGGGAGAAAGAAGCCACCGTTGATGACGACGAAGTATAATTCGGCATCTGTGACGTGAAGGCTCGCAAGCTAGCCAGCCTGCTCAAGGAGGCGGAGCGGCGGCGTGAAGTCCTTCAGGGCGAGCTTGGCGTGCAGCTGGAGGAGGCGCGACGCTCCAAGGCCGACACGGAGGAGCTCCTGCAGCACAACGCCAGACTTCAACTGGACTCGGAGGAGCACCAGACCCTCAAAGGCGCCTATAACTCCCTGCTCCACAGGTCATTTTCGTAATAGATAACTATGTATAAGTGTTGAGTGATTCGGGAGTGAGGGAATGAGTGAATGATTCTAAACGAAGTTGCAGGAATCATTCATTCATTCCCGATTAATAACGTGGAATAAATACGGCCCGATGAGTCATCGGCTGTCTGATTTAATCGGCCCTTATGAGCTCTCTTTTCTCTCCGTTGTAAAGCTAAACACATTGATGTACAAAATGATGTGCTTGTCAGGTTCGACGAGAGCGAGTCTCTTCTGAAGGAGCTTCAGGCGGATCACGCCAACCTCAGCGAACACAACGACGCACTGAAGAAGAACCACCAAACTCTGCAGCTGCAGCACGACAAGTCGGCAATATGGCCAAATATTCACATGGCAATATGACAGTATTCGGTATCATGCGTTAGCTTTTGGCGTTTTGGTTCTCATGCTACCATTTGAGTTAATGCGTTTAGAATGTAGCATGTTGGTTGTTATGTTAGCATTGTAGCATTTTGGTTCCCATGCTAGCATTTGTTATTTGCGGCTTGCTCTTGTCAGGACCGTGTCGCTTTTGAAGGAGAAGGAGGATGAGATCAAGTCGCTGCATTCAGACATGCGGTTGAAAGAAGAGGACATAGCAGGTCAGATCTGCCTTTACGCTAACATGTAGCATATTAGCGGTAACATTACAATTTCCCTTCACGCGAGTTGTGCTTTGGCGTCAGCTCTGCGAGGTGACCTCCGGGTGGCAGCGGACAAACGGAGGGAGAGTGAGCAGCAGAGGCGGGAGCTGGAGGACATGCTGGATGCTTTGAGGAAGGAGCTGAGCAAGACGGAGCAGGCCAGGAAGGACGCCAGCATCAAGGTAACCACGACACCCGCCCTTCCCGCCAAGCTTCTGCGTCCAACAATCGTGCCCGTGCGCAGGCTTCGTCTCTGGAGCTGCAGAAGAGTCAGGTGGAGACCAAGCTCAAGCAGTGCGAGGACGAGCTCAACAAGCACTCGGCCATGATCGCCATGATCCACAGCCTGAGCAGCGGCAAGAAGAACGACGTCAACCTCTCGCTCTGATGGCCACCAACACCGGCGATAAATCTACGACAGTCGACCCGCGAAAGCAACAACAAACGCAGCAGACACAGCCACAACAACGGCAACTCAGCCCTGACCCAAATGATTTTTAATGAAAACGACTCTTTATTGTATTTAAATAGCCTTTTATTGTATTTGTCAAATAAATGTGTACTCGTGCAAAACAAAAATGTGTGCGACATTGAATGAGTTTTGATGCAACTGTTGTGTTTCGCAGTACAGGGTGACCAAGTGGTACTGCTTTCTATTTTCTGCCATCCGTGTTTCTGCAGCTGCCGACTGTCAATCGAAGGGACTTTGGCACAAGGTCAGAAAGAAGACGGACAAACACGTTCTTCCTCACAAAACACAAGCGCAACATGAAGCCCGTCGGTGTGCTCCTGCTTGCGCTGCTCTTGCCTGGTCAGTTTCCATTTTTGAAATTGTTCTCTCATCATGACGTCATTTGTTGTTACATTGGAACTGCTTTGCGTGTTTTTTTTAGTCCACTTTTAGAATTATTAACCTACGTTGATGCTAATAATTGTCAAATTGTGTCTGGTCGAGTGAAGAACGTAATGTGGATGCTGGGCTGTCAAACTGAGATGAATCCAGATTTGATTCAAATTAGGTGGCAGTGTAAACTTTAGTGACTGTTGAAATTTTACGTGTTCACCACATTTATTTAGCGACTGTCGTTTGTTTCTCTTGGTGGCAAATGTCTGCCTTGGCGGAGGTTTCGAGTCTGGCTTTAGCAGTTAGGGAGGAGGAAGCAGCTGTTGTGTGAAATTGGAGAGCTTGAACGTGCCAGAGGCTCTTTGGGAACGTCATTGCTTCTCAAACTGGGGGCCCGCCCCCCAAATATATTAGCAATAAATGAAGTGGAATCGTTTTAAAAAGTGCATCGCTGCAAGTGGGGACCGGTGCCTCATTGAAAATAACGTCTGTGTCTTTTCCACTTTGAGGGGGATAAAAATAGTTTTATGGCTGGGTCAGAAAGTTGACTAAGTCAACCACAAAATATAGGTCGACACTTTATTCTATGATTTTGTTGAGAGATCGCCGAGTACCGGGGTATAACGGCCTATATTTACGGTATTGAGTACTCTGGGAAAAAAACTGGAGCCTGTCGATATGAGCCACCGATACTTCAAGCAAAAAAAAAAAAATCATCCACTGAGTAAGTCCTCCTTGGCAGTAGTTGGCGCTATAACTCTGCAAATCATTATCTGCTTCAGAAAGAAAGGCCTTCACATTTTTTTGCCCTTGTGTTAAATTAAAATTTAAAAGTACTTGAGGTATCGGTACTCGTATCATTGATTACTCAAAGTGTGGTACGAGTGCTTATCCGTGCTCGTACAAAATTTGGATTTTGTGATATATTATTTTTCCTGAAAATAGGCAGCTTTTAAAACCCCGTGGCATTCAGGGGAGCATGTGGTCGTTTGTTTAAACACTCCCCGAGCACACGACTTGTGAAAGGCTGCATCAAACGTACCATGTTGTTCATTAGTCACATTCAGATTGTGTTCTTGTGTGTGTTACTGGCTATTAACCTTTAAGCGTGTATGCATATAGTGTGCTGGTGCCGGAACGAGGAAGAGCGCCTGATCAACCACCTGTTGAAGGAGCGCGGCTACAACAAGGAATTGCGCCCCGTGGAGAGACAACAGGACGCCGTCGATGTCTACCTCGCACTCACGCTCTCAAACCTCATCTCCTTGGTACAAACACACACACACGTGTTGGATGGATTGATGGGGCAGATAATTGGATGAGCAATGCGAGCCCGAAGGCTGTTTGACGTCAGCCATAAGGAATAGATGACGTTTTCCTCTCGTGCTACTGGTTTATCTAGAAAGAAGTAGACGAGACCCTCCTCACCAACGTCTGGATCGAGCACGTAAGTTCTCCTCGTCGAAGACGCTCAGTCGCACCGTCTGCCCAATGCACCCGTACAATTACCGTGTTTCTTTTTTTTTTTTTGTGCGCGCGCGTCAGACGTGGATAGACTACCGGCTGACGTGGAACACGAGCGAGTTCGACGGCATCAAGATGCTGCGCCTGCCGTCGAACATGGTGTGGCTGCCCGAGATCGTGCTGGAAAACAAGTGAGAGCGGGAGCTGGGTTGGGAATCACTCGTTAGCCACTCATCAGGGAGTGTTGGAATCATCATGTCAGTCCGAGAGTCAACTACAGTACATAGTCCACGATACAAAAATTCCTACTGTTGAATCACTATTGAGAGATTTTTAGTGTACATTTTAAGGAATTGTCTAGCTCCCTCGTATATATAAAGAGAAACACTTTAGAGCAATTTCTAAGGAGTTCTGAATGAGAGTGTTCTCCCTTTTCCCCTCACCCAGTAACGACGCCCAATTCCAGGTGGCCTACTACTGCAATGTGCTAGTTGAGTACACTGGGCTGTGCTACTGGTTGCCCCCCGCCATCTTCCGCTCGTCCTGCTCCATCAACGTCAACTATTTCCCGTTCGACTGGCAGAACTGCACCCTCAAGTTTACGTGAGATTGCTAACAGCGTTTTTTTTAATGTATACAGCAGACCCATTTCCGTCGCAGGTGTGAAATGTTTTTTTTTTTTTTTTTTTTTTCAAATTTATTGATTCAGACACATTTTCACAGTGAGCCGTTGATTGCAAATGATAGGATACCTGTCTAAAAGGGAACGCAGGCGGAAGCGTGCGAGTATTTTCAACAAAACATTTCTCCTCATAATACTGGTGCAAAACAATCCTGTGCCACCATCTAGCGGCTGACAGTGCAATTACACCTAAAATACTGTAAAGTGCAGGAAGAACAAAAGTGATGGAAGTTGGTTTACTTTATGCGCATACCGTGTTGGGCCGTCCTTCTGTCTCTGTTGAACTGACGTTGTGCATCCCTGTGTCTTTGCAGCTCCTTGACGTATAACGCCAAAGAGATCCAAATGCTCCTGAAGACGGACACGGATGACATCATCACGTGGACGGTAGAGTGGATCATCATCGACCCGGCCAGCTGGACAGGTGAGCGCCTCGTACTCGACGCCTCGGGATTCGATTTACCCTAGACATGACACGCGCTACCTCCCCCCACTATGATCGACCGTCAGAGAACGGCGAATGGGAGGTGATCCACCGTCCGGCTAAGAGGAACACCTACAAACACATTCCCATGGAGAGCAACAAGCACCAGGACATCACTTTCTACCTCGTCATCAAACGCAAGCCGCTTTTCTACATTGTCAACATCATCATACCCTGCGTGCTCATCTCCTTCCTGGCCTCGCTCGTCTACTACCTGCCCGCAGACAGTCAGTTAGCATTTATACACCAACGCTTCTGTAACAGAAGGAGCATCATGAAAAGTTCCCTTTACTGTCATGCCCCGGGCTCTTTTAAATCATGTCATTGCTTTAAATGTGTGTGTGTGTGTGTGTGTGTGTGTGTGTGTGTGTGTGTGTGTGTGTGTGTGTGTGTGTGTGTGGGTGTGGGTGTGTAAGGTGGTGAGAAGATGACGTTGTCCATCTCTGTGCTGCTGGCGCAGTCTGTATTCCTGTTGCTGATCTCTCAAAGGCTTCCGGAGACTTCCCTCTCCGTCCCGCTCATTGTCAAGTAAGACACACACACACACACACACACACACACACACACACACACACACACATTGTGTACATGATTTGTTTGTTGTTGTTGTTTTTTTAAAGCTAACATTGTTCCTCAGGTACCTGATGTTCATCATGGTGCTGGTGACAGTGGTGGTCTTAAACTGTGTGGTGGTACTCAACCTGCACTTTAGGAGCCCCAGCACACATGTCATGTCTGGGTGGACCAAGAGGGTAGAACACACACACACAGTTTTGCATTTCCCATGTTTTGTGTTGCTTGAGGCACGACACATCTTGTGTTTAAAAGAAAAAAGAATCGCACACTGTCACCAAATAAAAATGTCACAAAAAGTATATACGCTTAATGCTAACGTACGATAGAAAATCCCAATGACATGATTTAAAAGAGACATGCTAATGTTAGCATCGATAGTGTGGTTTTACGACCCTTTAGGTATCGGTTAAAGTAATGTTTAATCACAAATTGCTAAACAACTCATTAAGATAAATATAACAATACTCACAGGTGTATATTCTTTATCCTCTATGATAAAATAACATAATAGTGCAGCTCATTGAGTATTAGCAGTCGAAGGCGTCGATTGTTCTTCATTATTGTGTGCACTCTTATCATTCTGTTTTTATAAACAGCACCACAAGTGCTGGAATTTCAGTTGTAGTCGAACCAACGCGTTTTCGTCACAGTTGTTCCTAGAGCGACTTCCTCGCCTCCTGCTCATGTCCCGGCCGGCGGAGTCCGAGCCGTACTGGGACGGCGCTTTGCAGCGGCGCTCCAGCTCGGCGGGCTACATCGCGTCGGCTGAGGAGTACTACAGCGTCAAGTCGCGCAGCGACTTGATGTTCGAGAAGCAGTCGGTGAGACACGGGCTCGTGACACGGCCCACGCACGCAACAGGTATGCAAACGTTTGCTCAGCAACATTAGGCGGCAAACTACATTTTTTTTTTTTTTTTTTAATCCTTCAGTGAAAAAGCTGCAGGATGACGGCGGCGTGACCGAGCAGCTGTATGCAGAAATCAAGCCGGCGGTGGACGGAGCTAACTACATCATCAAACACATGCGAAACAAAAACGACTACAATGAGGTGAGCGGGTCATGTGATGATGTCATACACTCTTAACTCAGTGGTTGCTTGTCAGTTTCTGTTCCGCTCATTTGGAACCCTACTCATGTCGTCGTCAACGCCACCTAAACCGAAGTACTGCGCTACCCGGTTTCACAAACTGAAATTCTGAAATTGCGTTGGCCAACCTTCACAAAGTTTCTGCTCCACGCCCACAATGACACAAGTACCTGATTGGAAAGTACCAAACACTTTTGAGGCGTTTTATTTATTTATTTATTTTTGTCATTGCAGGAGAAGGACAACTGGAGCGGCATCGCTCGCACCGTGGACCGCCTCTGCCTCTTCCTCATTACCCCTGTGATGACCTTCGGCACCATAATCATCTTCCTGATGGGTCTCTACAACCACCCGCCGCCGCTGCCCTTTGCCGGAGACACTCACGACTACAGGGAGGAAAACCCGCGGCTGCTGTGATGTGAACGCGCACGCAAACACACACACACAGACACACCTCATTCTGCTTTCTTTGATCTTGTGTGGCTTGTTGTTTCCTTTCATTAGATGTGAAAAAAAAAATCCTCAGTAAACACGAATGTTTAACCTGATCAGTATTTGCGAAGGTGTAAGATGCCTCTTTAAAGTTCAACTCTCCTAGTCCCTCATTAAAAGTTTCTCCACTCTGCCTTAAAGGTTTTGTTTTTTTTCCCCCCCCAATGCTGCGACTCGAGTGTTTGCAGTACAACTCCTACAATCTGATCATCGGGCCGATGATGAGCTGATCCTTCCCCTGTTGCGTAAGTCGGTGAAGGCCCAATTTTCTTATCACGTGTTATGGATGAGTTTTCGTCCCCAATTTGCTGGGAAAATGTAAGCATTCAATGAGATCGAAACATACCAGAAGTGCATTTTTATTTGATTGTTTTATTGTCTTGCTTCAACAAGCGGTATCATATAAATATGGATGAAGTAGAAAAATAAAGTAATGTTCCTTTTTTTTTTCCAGAAAATCAACAGGGTTGAATCTCAGTTTTGTCATAATTGTCAAATTTAATCCAAAAAAATTATTTGTAGAAAAATATCACATTTTCAAAAGTGCATACAATTACCTCCCACTATGAATGTGACATACCATCGCATCCCGTTTACATCCTCAAATGAATTAAGTTGATTTTTAAAAAATACACGTTACAAAATGTGAATTGCAGGATTATTTCTATATTATGACTTGAGCTTGAATTTGCTAAATCAGCAACATTTTGCTTCATACTGCATAGCGTTCCCACCGGTCTCGTGACATAGTCCTTGGAAAATGGTAGCTCTTGTACTCATAAACTTACAATATCTCTGCCTTATAACACTAAAAGAGAGGAAGTCATGGTTGAGCCTTTTGTGTCAGCATCTTTCTCACTGACTTGTCTTCTTCTGGTGTCTTCTGGAATTTGCGCAACGTCCTCACTGGACAAAGGTGGTGAGAAGATGACGTTGTCCATCTCTGTGCTGCTGGCGCAGTCTGTATTCCTGTTGCTGATCTCTCAAAGGCTTCCGGAGACTTCCCTCTCCGTCCCGCTCATTGTCAAGTAAGACACACACACACACACACACACACACACACACACACACACACACACATTGTGTACATGATTTGTTTGTTGTTGTTGTTTTTTTAAAGCTAACATTGTTCCTCAGGTACCTGATGTTCATCATGGTGCTGGTGACAGTGGTGGTCTTAAACTGTGTGGTGGTACTCAACCTGCACTTTAGGAGCCCCAGCACACATGTCATGTCTGGGTGGACCAAGAGGGTAGAACACACACACACAGTTTTGCATTTCCCATGTTTTGTGTTGCTTGAGGCACGACACATCTTGTGTTTAAAAGAAAAAAGAATCGCACACTGTCACCAAATAAAAATGTCACAAAAAGTATATACGCTTAATGCTAACGTACGATAGAAAATCCCAATGACATGATTTAAAAGAGACATGCTAATGTTAGCATCGATAGTGTGGTTTTACGACCTTAAAAGTTTCTCCACTCTGCCTTAAAGGTTTTGTTTTTTTTCCCCCCCCAATGCTGCGACTCGAGTGTTTGCAGTACAACTCCTACAATCTGATCATCGGGCCGATGATGAGCTGATCCTTCCCCTGTTGCGTAAGTCGGTGAAGGCCCAATTTTCTTATCACGTGTTATGGATGAGTTTTCGTCCCCAATTTGCTGGGAAAATGTAAGCATTCAATGAGATCGAAACATACCAGAAGTGCATTTTTATTTGATTGTTTTATTGTCTTGCTTCAACAAGCGGTATCATATAAATATGGATGAAGTAGAAAAATAAAGTAATGTTCCTTTTTTTTTTCCAGAAAATCAACAGGGTTGAATCTCAGTTTTGTCATAATTGTCAAATTTAATCCAAAAAAATTATTTGTAGAAAAATATCACATTTTCAAAAGTGCATACAATTACCTCCCACTATGAATGTGACATACCATCGCATCCCGTTTACATCCTCAAATGAATTAAGTTGATTTTTAAAAAATACACGTTACAAAATGTGAATTGCAGGATTATTTCTATATTATGACTTGAGCTTGAATTTGCTAAATCAGCAACATTTTGCTTCATACTGCATAGCGTTCCCACCGGTCTCGTGACATAGTCCTTGGAAAATGGTAGCTCTTGTACTCATAAACTTACAATATCTCTGCCTTATAACACTAAAAGAGAGGAAGTCATGGTTGAGCCTTTTGTGTCAGCATCTTTCTCACTGACTTGTCTTCTTCTGGTGTCTTCTGGAATTTGCGCAACGTCCTCACTGGACAAAGAGTGAGGTTGCGCTTTACTGCAGCTTTGATTCGTCTTAGCTCGACTCGCTCACCTTTATAGATCAAGAATCCCGCGAGGCCGACAGACATGACCAGCAAGCATCCGAACACAGCGATTGTGCCGAGCAGCGATCGAAGCTTTGAGTCTGATGGAGGGAAGAAAAAAAAAATTGTCGGTACTCTTATTTGAACTCTCACTGATGTTCCGTTTGTCGGATGACCTGGACCGACTATGACTTGTGTTTGGGCTCGCACATTCAAAAGTTTAGTTTGATTACCTGATGTGACGATGACGTCCGTCTGCGTGACGTAGGTGACCCGATGTGTTCGGACTTCGCAGGTGTATACGCCCTGGTGGTCGGGCACCACGTTGGGCAGCTTGAGGTGTTGCCATGCCGAGCGTCCGTCTATCACGTGGATCTTCCACTGATCCGAAAGCGTAACTTGGTGCTGCAAGCCACTCGCTTTCATAAACAGGATGTCCTCCAAATGACGGAACCTCCATATCAGCTCAAAGTGGCTTAGATCTTGTGGAAAACTGCATGGAACCTTCACCTCACTGCCCGACGCTGCATGAATGGCATCTGCACAGGAGGTTTGTATGAGATTCTCAACAAATTTAAATGAGAAGGGTCTGGATGAAGTCGTCTGTACCTTCTATCCTGAGCCGAGCTGTATTTTTGTTCCTCTTACTGCTGAGCTCACATGTGAAGTCCACGTGGATGTTACCGTCAGCCTTCAGTTGCATGCAGCTCTCCACGTTATAAAAACCTGACTGCGTCTGCTCCACCTTCGTCTTGTTGTCGAAGAGCCTGCCATCCATGGGGGGGTCAGTGGACCAGTCCAGTGTGGGCACCGGGTAGATGCCATTAGCCCGACAGAACACGGCATTTTCACTCAGCTCCATGTGGACGTCCTGGATTGGAGCTGATGCCCGGAAAACAACACTTCAGCACATTTCAAAGTACTGTACTGTTGCGTGTGAAAAGTCCTCACCCACTGCCAGCTGCCGGAGGTGAGAAAAAGGAGGGGCCCTAAAATTCAACCCTGTGGAACGCCTTAAAACAGCAGAGCCAAGCAGGGCTCCGAATTACAAAGGCTTACACCCGTAGTTCTTGTTTGCTGACATCTGTGATGTACACAAGACAGTTTGTGGGCTCACCTTCCACATGGAGGTTGATGAAGGCCTCCCGAGTGTCTTGGAGGGTTCCGACGTAGCACTTGTACCTCCCTTCATCTTCAACCACGACGTCCTTAAGCAGCAAAGATGCGTTCCCCGCTGTGATCTTTTCCTTAAACAAGGATGTTCTTTCCCTGAAGTGCTTTCCCTGGTTGACCAGCTGATCTGAGTCATAATAAAAGGAGTGAACCTGGACCTGAACACCCCCAGGAGCGTGGTGAAACCAGTGGATAACCACGTCCTCTCCAACGGGGAAGCTCACCGCTAAAACACAACTCGTATTCCAACGGCACCAAACATCACTGACGTCTGCAAAACATCACCACGTAGAAAGCCGATTGGACCCAAAAGTGAAATTTCACATCGATTGCAATCACGGTCGCATGATCTCAAATGATATTGAAGTCACTAGCTCAATCTTACGTATTGTCGCACTGATTAATACAACAGACCCTAGCCTAGTAATTGTTGAGAATAAAACATGATTTTTTTGCTGCAGTTACTTGTTAACTTTGTCCACTGAGTCACAGCATTGCAGTCCATACGTGACATTTGCAAGCGAAAGCAAAAGTGTCAACGAAACAACACCCGGAACACCTGCGCAGTAAGTGAGCAATAAGGACATTTGATATAGAACACAAAAACCTTAAAGACGGCAGACAGTTGTGAAGCTTCTGCTTACCTCCGCAGATCAGACGCCACAGGAAGAAGTGGTAGGCTAAAAACAAGGCAGACGTCTTCGTCTTCATTGAGATGACTTGCTCAGTGGCAACTCGAACTGACACAGCCAAAGGAAACCTGCAGCATTCCATTCATGTGGTGTTCAAGGCAGGTGTTGTTTTGTTATTTTTGGAAAGGCGCACAACCAATTATTCTGCTTTCTTTTAGTCATGTGACATTCCCACAAATAGGCGGAAGTCCACATATCGATAATGTGATTTGTACCCGCCTTTCCATCTCAATCACAAAAAGCCCAATCATCCAATGTCTGCCAAGTTGATCCTGAGTGATTATCCTGTGCTGTGTGTTGAGAAATCTTTCCTCCCCGATATGCTCAGAAATTGCAACTGTTAAACCTGTTGAATATTTCTGATGTCATTAGGTTGCTCGCAAGTTCGAATTTACTTTATTAGATTTATTATTTTCATTTTGGATTTAGTTGGAAGATGTACCTTTAAAATTAGGCCCACACTTAGCATGGTTACAAAACAACAGGAGGACATCAACAGAAACAGAAAACGAGTAAGAGTTAAGAAAAACATGTCCCTTTAGCTGATACTTTCATTTCTGAGTGGACAAACCGGATTGACTGCTACATGCGCCTTTAATTCGCATTCTAGTGGTCACATTCTAAGGTCTGACCTTTTTCTTTAGGATGATGAACAGTGAAAGTCTTGGGCCCTTGCCCCTACTAGCTTAGTGTGGCCGTCGGCATGCAGCTCAAAGGGGGCATGTTGGATCTTCCCCCGTTCATTTCGATGAGTTGAACTTAATATGCACACCAAAGATGGATTCACACATACATAATGATTTTGAACTGCTGTTAGTCACAAAAATATCTCTCTTTAATGCCACGCGGAGTTAAACAGTGTTCTGTACCCTCTTTGTAAATTATTTTACTTTGAAGGAAACGGGTCCGGAAACAAAAGTCGTTCGTTTTTCCGGTACCTTTGCTAAGTGCTGCGAGCTTGCCGCTCTCGGATGCTCTGATTGTCGGACTGTACTTGAGCTGCACTCGTTGTTCACTCGGTCCCGGATAATAAAGCGGGCGAGCAGCTTCCACTCGGAGCCCCCCGCTCCAGCATCTTCTTCCCTGGTGACTTAACAAGCCTCAGGACCCCAACATTGGAACACCCCGGTCGCGAGGATGAACCCCCAGTGTGCCCGCTGCGGGAAGGTTGTTTATCCGACAGAGAAAGTCAGCTGCCTGGACAAGGTGAGCACTTTTTTTTTTCCCCGTCGGTCACTCTGCTTATCATCCAAATAAATAGATTTACGTCCACTTATTGAATTCAACATACAAGCTTTTATTTGCAAATGTTTGAAATGGCGAAGACGTTCCCGGTCGAGTAATTGAGACGTAAAAATGAAAAAGAAGCAAAGTGCATTCATCATAATTAACGTGCATCATCATTTCGTCATCTTCCCTCCGAAGTCTTCTTTTGTCAAACATTTCCCTACACTTTTGAGATAGTTTGTGTTCTTTGTCCCCAAATATGTTATACAAGCTTTAGTTAGCCATAAACATGTTGAAAGAGATAATTTAGCCGGTTTTTTTCAGCCCAAATGTGTTTATTAAAATCTCTATTTTTATTTTTAATCCAATTTAAACGCGTGTCTTTTTTTGTCTCATTGTCCAGAAACAAAAATAAAACCAAACAAGGAATTTCACATATTCCGTATACAGTAGTGAATTAAGCAAATTGATGATGATTGAAAGGTGGAAGAAGCCTGGATGTTCATCAACAAGACTTTTTCCACTTTTAAGAGAAACGCTTGATTTCATCAGCTGCAAATTCTTTCTCCCAAATCATTAAAAAAAAAAACATTGTTTTCAAACTTTAAACATCTTGGTTCCATTCTAACCGCTTATGTACTTACAGTGTATCACCTGATTAAGATTATTGGACAATCCTTTACAACATGCTGCTGCAACACACACACACACACACACACGCCCCATTTCACTGAATCGATGGCAGTTGCTTGATAACGAAACATTAAAAAAAAAATAGTTAATTATATGTTGTGTATTTAAAAGAAACAAGCTTCATGCTAAATCATAATCCGAAACACCATAGATGGGCTAACTAAGAGCATCGACATGGTGGAGGTATAAAGTGCGACGAAAAGAATTCAATATATTTATTTCTATTTTATATCGTTACTTATCGAGCGTCACATGCATAAATGATGGCATGCGGCGTCACGTTGATGAATTATTCAGCCTCGTTAAGTGTCTGCTGCACACGGCGTCGGATGACACAACAATAGCACCGAGTCTGCGACCAAACATCAAGCACGTTCATGTAGAAATTCTGAAATTGTTCTCACGCAGGCAGGTGTATCTTGCAATACTCCCTTACACCACTTGAGGTGAGAGTGAGTCCAACAAATAAACAAGCTGCTGCTTTGACTGCTGCTCAGCTTGTTGTCATGACAACATGCCAGGAAGTTTCTAGAACAAGGATGTCCAAAGTTTTTCTCCTGAGTTAAACTTTAAATAAATAGGCAAGATTTTCAAAATTTGCTCCTAACTTCCTCATGTTAATTTTTCATTAGTATATGCGACGGGCGGCAAATGGCCTCTGAATTAGACTTTGGACAGCCTTGCTCTGGAATGGTCCTTGTATGAAGATTGGCACATACACAGGAATGGAAAATTGGAGAATGTGTGTTTCTAAACAATGGCTATGTGTATGTGTGCACGTAGAACTGGCACAAAGGCTGCTTCCACTGCGAGGTTTGCAAGATGACCCTCAACATGAAGAACTACAAAGGTTACGACAAGAAGCCCTACTGCAACGCGTGAGTCGGCCCTCTCTCCCATTGTGTGGGTGTGTGGGTGTGCGCGCATTCTCTTACAAATGACACACTCCCTCAGTCCAAGCAGCTTTTTTTGCATGTACACGCCGCATTCGAAAAATGAAGTCGATGATGAAAGTGAGAACGGCGGGACAATGGAGAATGGTTAGCATGTCCGCCTCACAGTTCTCAGGTTCACGGTTCAAATTTCCTGTCTGTGTGACCTTCCCGCGTGTCATTTGCATGATGTCCGCGTGCTCAAATGGCTTTTTTTCCTCCCACGTTAGCATGTTAGCTTCATTGTACACTAAGGAATGGCCCGTCGGGTTTCGATGCGAGTGGAATGACGCCTACGGTAACACGCACACTCTTTTGTTTCTCGGCCTTTTCCGAACAATTGTCGGCGCGCACACCCGCTGTTTCCTTAAGTCCTGCCGTTCGTCATTTTGATGCTGTGACTTTATTTAGAGCAGCATACAAAGCAGCATCCTGTCACATTGTGTGCGCAGGTTGGAGATATCATCAAAGCGGACTTGAAATCAGACAGGCTGACTTGGGGCGGGGGGAAAAAATGGCCTCGGACATTACACATGACATCATACATGACTTTATATGCATCCGTGCGTTCATTTTTCGAATCATCACATACGATACATAATATTTTTATGTGTTTTTTTTTTTAAATAAAGAAATACAGCCCTGTATTGCACTGCATGTCCACATCATCAAGCACGATCATGTAAATAAACTTTATTAAGTATAATTATTGGATGTACTATGGCGTGGGCGAGTGACTGATGTCCGGAACTTGGCCGATTAGCAAGCGCGTGAGCGTTTAGGTGAGACGTGGCCTACAGCAGAGTGTTGTCATTGGGTATTCGGCTGCTTGGACCGTTCAATAAATGTTTATATCTTTATATTTGGGCACTTGTAAGAAAAATTACTTTATTTAATTACTATATTTGTCATTCAAGAATTGGTTCATGCCATATAAATAAATGCATTTTTAATTATGATTATGACATGCAGACATTATCCCAAGACATCCTTCACGACTGTGGCTGATACGCCGGAGAACCTGCGACTGAGGCAGCAGAGTCAGCTGCAGAGTCAGGTCCGTAAAATATCCTACGGAAATATTGAGATGAATGACGAACACCATCGTGAGTGCCGCAACATTTCCTCACCCGCCGCAGGTGAATTACAAGAAAGATTTTGAGGAGAGCAAAGGTCGAGGCTTCAGCATCGTGTCCGACACGCCTGAGATGCAACGACTGAGACGCACGCAGGAACACATCAGTAACGTATGTGCCGGAGGTGGAAACACAAAGCGCACGCGCGTACATGGGACGGTGATGATAAAAAAGTCTACACCCCCTTGTTCAAAATGTCAGGTTTTTGCAAGATGAACCATTTGAAAACCTTTCCCACTGCAAATATGGCCTATGTTACTTCTCCGGAATATTTTGATAGGATCCCACAAAATGAGGCAGATTAGCGACAGGTGCAGCTCTGGAGGGGAACGCCCTCCACTCCTGCCATACACTGAATTAACAAACAGGACATGAACATGACAGCCTATAAACTGTGTGCCTCAAATTAAAGTTCAGATGTTCTAGCCATCTTTTATGATCATATTAATGAGTTGAACAAAAGCTTTGAAATTCTTTGTGGTCTCATTTTACATGTAGCAATCATATGGGGTGAACAGGGGTGTGTAGACTTTTTCAACCCACAGTATTTATGTGCATACTATAAGTGGGGTGCGAAGAGGATGAATGGATGTGGTGCAGTTTTGTCAGTGAGCGCGTGCGTGCGCGCGCTCACACACACACACTCACACACACTCATTCTCCACTGAGTGCGAGATGGAGGCGACAACAGCACCGAAGCGGAGCATCGGGTAAATTGTAAGTAACTTTTTTTTTTTTTTTAATCTTTTGGTTTTGAACTGACCACCCGGGGAGCTAGGATTGG